ACTCCTACTCCTACATCAACCTCTATCCCTACTACTACTACTACTACTACTACTACTACTACTACTACTAACTACTACTAACTACTACTAACTACTACTACTACTACTACTACTACTCCTACTCCTACATCAACCTCTATCCCTACTCCTACTACTACTACTACTACTACTACTAACACTACTACTAACACTTACTCCTTCTACCACTACGACTACTACTACTACTACTACTACTACCACCACCACGACTACTACTACTACTACTACTACTACTACTACTACTACTACTTACTACTAACTGCTCCTGGTGCTGCTACCACTCCCACTGCCACCCGCGGCCACCGGCACAACTAGCACTGCGACGACGGCGTGCGACGCTGACGACGAGTTGGACTGCGACTACGACCGTTACAACCACCACTTTCCATCTAGCCGTGAAAGATAATGCCCCGACTACTACGATGATTACTGCTGCTGCTCCTCCTTCGGATTCAGAGATGGTCAGGTTGCAGCGGTGCTTCTGGATACGGCGTTTTGCACTGCATTCTTCCTGCGACTTGGTCGAACGTACAGCCTCGAGAGCTTCTGCTAACTCCACCTGACTCTTGGCGATGCATCGCCCTGGTCTTTGGGACCTGCCTTCCGATGCTTTCCGAGGTATCGGGGCTGGCGGGTCGCGCGGCTTCGGGCCTCGACGGGTCCTCGGCCTCCGAGCATGGCGTCCAATCAGCGCTTTGCACTTGGTTCCGCCCCGAGGTCAAAATCTCTTGCAGTGCATGGCAAGCTGATGCAATGCGGCACCATGATGCCACTTGCATTCGAGAAGGAAAGCATGTGCATGAAGCTAGAGACTCTATTCATGCAATGTTGGGGAGTGTTCTGTGCCTGGTCGATTTCACCCAGAAGCTCCTCACATCGGCTGGCGGGCTAGCGGGCAAACATCGCAACAGTTGGGACCTTCAGAGTAGGCTCGGAGGCTTGAGTAGGTGTGCCAAATGCCAATCATCTCGCCTCAAATCTCAGCTCCAAGGAGCATGGCCATCTTGCCGCAGCGTTTCTTGCAGCTGTACCTGACGATGCAGTTAAAGGGCCACCATCAGGCAGACCCCTCACGCAGAAGGAAAATGTGGATTTGGATAAGAAGCAGTGTGATTCTTTTTGGAGACCCTGGGTGTCTGAGCCACATGCCATCTATTGCGAAGGCAAAGCAGGTAGGTGTTCCGATGGCATGCCATGGTTCACCCTCTTCCTCGAATGCATCGTCGCGTCAACGACGACAGAGATAGTGATGTATATGCGCGTCTACCTCTCTCGCATTCTCTTTCTCTCGTGCCTGCATATGAACCTTGAACGGTACATGCATAGCTTCGCTGCAAGCGGTGTTTTTCATGTTTCTGGTTTCGCGCATTGGGCGACGGGTAAATCCTGGCGTCCAGGACATCTCATCTCACAGGCAACATTGCTCAAGACACAACTAATCCCAGCTAGATCAACTAGCGAGGATACATCTGTCACAAGCTGAGTGCATCATATACTCCAAGAAAATCAGGGGGCGCTCGGAGCCACCCCAAGCGGGAGAGCCTTTTAGAGCGCAGGTGAACTACTCCGCCTCCATCCTAGTGACCTCGATCCTCTTCTTCGTCTTCGGGCACTTTCAAAAAGGACCGAGAGGCCGGAGGAAGACGAGGGAGCAGAGCATCGGAGCCGGACCTTTGAGGGCGGAATTGCTCCGAGGCTTCATCTGGATGAACTGCATCGGCAGCGACAATGCCGAAGAGGTGAGGACGGGACATAACGCTGACCTTGGTTTGCTAGAGTGCTAGAGCCTTCATACAACGGATGCTTGAAACCACCGGCATGGGACACGAGGCATTTGCAAGTGAAGGCTTGTAAAACTGTGGCCATTTTTCGGCTTTTGCTTTGAGGCCTTTGGCAGCCGCCATGCCTCCCCGCTGGAGCAGTGGAGTTGGAAGCTGCGATGGTACGGGTCTCTGTCTTTAGATATCCATGTGTAAGCACAGGAGGTCAGGAGGTGAGGTGGCGTGGCACAGAACTTGAAGAGCACCCATGAGGCTGGCTTACGTGCCCGTCTACTACGCGATGCGATTTGTGCTCGAGTAGAGGCCGCGGCTGCTCCGCGGCTCTGCGTCGCTGTGGCTCAAGGAGTCCAGTACGCCTTCGCAGCCTCGGGGGCTCGACTCGCAAGATTCGAGCCTGGACTCACCAGCGGGACTTCGCAGATCTGCTGGCAGTGTCCGATCACCTGGGAAGGGAGCAGAGCTCTTCTCCAACCAGCTGCAGTTCCTCCGATGTTCACAAGGGAGCGGCCTTCCTCATGCAAGCAGGGGCAGCGGTCCGCAGGAAAAGTGCTCGAGTTGTTTGGTGCTGTCACGGCCAGCCCTTGAGCTGAAACCCATGAACCATAGTAGAAGAAAGTTGACAAGTCGCAGCCATATCTTGGCACCGACCAGTCGGATGAGGAAGTACGGAAGTGCTCGGTACATACAAGTCATTGTAAGCCTAGATATCCAGAATGTTCTCTGACTTGGCTACTCCTGTTTCCACAAACCTCGCGGAGAGGAGCACAGCCCACAAAAAGCAGAACCGAATCAACACACCAGCCTAAGCTCGCTTGAAACCTCTATGCTGCCCGGCTTTCGTTTCGACTTTCGTCAACGGATTTGGCTGCTCCTGTGACTTGCCTGCACTGGGGAGTGCACCAGGTCATTTCTATATTCTGCTGGTGAGGGTTGGAGACGGGTGGGGAGATAGGATTCGTGCCACAGTCTTGTTGTAGATATCGGTGACCGCCCATGGATTAGCCGGAGGAAGGCAACACACGAGCCAAATGCTAAGACAAGTCGTCAAGAACATGAATTGTGCACTTCGTCGCCACCATAGTCAAGTGCTATGACATACTACCCGACGGCATGGGAAGAGGGATACTGGGCAGAGTCGGAGCACGAAAGCACCACAATCACTTGATGCGCCTTGGCTAAGTCTCGTAAATGTCGATCTTCAATACTCTTAGGAACTGTCAGAGCATTTCAGCGGCACGCGGTGCGATCTAGACGATACTTCAAGAGATGGCAACAAAGACTACAGCAAGAGCAAGAATGACTTGAGTAAGTGTAAACGACTGCTGCATCCGTCGTAGAGTCGTGGATCGTGAACCTGATCTAGTCCAGGTTGCAGCTGCGCGGATGGTGGCAACCATGGCAGGCCTTGGCACCTAGGTGTCCTCGCTTTGGTTCACAACTTCACAACTGTGGAAGAGGCATTGAAACAAGCACCGGAGCTCCACTGCAGGTCGAGCATCGATGGTCCGAGACAACTGCGAAGGTGGCAGTGAGACAGGCACAGTTCCTCACATGCGTGCATTCCATTATTGACATTGGTTTGGTTCTCATTAATCCGTTCCCCAAGAGTCTTGTCAGCCTACTGCCTTCTGCATTTGGAAACCATGGACCATGCAAGCTTTCGATCGATGTCTCCTGCCCTTTGGTGATTCTGCCTGGTAAATTGAGGGCGAGGCCTGGTCATGCTGGCCCTTCCTTACTTTTAAGGAAAAGCCTCAGGCGACTTCCGAGGTAGTTGAGTCAGCTGACCCTGCACACTGCACAACAGACGTCGAGTCTGACAGCTGAGGCCCTTCTCGAGCAGAAGAAAGGAAGCAACTAGAACCGTTTCCAAACAGGTCGCAGGTAAGCTCGACGCCCTTCGGCTACTAGTGACATGAGTGCTAAAGCTTCGTATTCAAAAAGGACGATATCTCCAAAACGTTGGAAGGACCGAACTGCACATCAACCGCTCCAAGGGCGAGATGTGCCGCTAGACAGGCATGGCCTACATCGGCGACGGTATCGCTTCACTTCCTTCAAATCTCCGATGTGATCTTGGCTGCAATTTTACTATTAGGTTCAGCTTGCGCAGCAGCAGTCTCGGAGACCCTTCTGCTCCCCTGGCCAAGTCCCACATCACGCTCTCGCCGCTGTCTGGTCAAGAAGTAGTGTACGGCAAGAGGCGGGACGGTAAAGATGTGGCGTTTGAATTTTCTGCAGCTCGGAGCTGCAACGGATCATCACTGCTGCGCCTGACCGCTTTCAGTTTGAGAAGGATGCACGATGCCTTTTACGGCGGCTCGCCGTGCTTGTGGAACAGATCCACTGCCGGGGCCCATGCTGCTGCCTGGTTCGTGTCGATGCAGAGACTGGTTAGGGACATTTAGGTACTCAAAACAAGGAAAAACGCGTTATTGGGCTTCATTATAACGGGTGATATGGGATTTCCCTATCCTAGCGTTTGCTTATATGTACTTTTCGGGGGCCCTAGCTGAATCTGAATCTACTTCACCCAACTTTGCCATCGTTCTGATCCTTACTCAAACTGCCGGCGATCACTTAAGTTTTGAAGTCCTTCACATCTGAATTTTGAGAGTTCTACTGGTCTGATGATGGACGACACCTGAGGTTCAAACTGCTCCCATGTTCCGCGAACTTGTGGATGTGGCTGCTTCAGCCGCCGTCGACGTGCTGGCCTAAGCAGCAAAGTCTTTGCAAATGCCCGCTCGAAGGTCCGTAGCAAGAAAAGCCCATGATCCAGAAGAAAGGTAGTAACGCCTTCTGCAACAAAAGAAACGAAGACGTTTACTTACTGCAGAAGCAGTAGTCGTCGTTGTTGTAGCAGGAGGAGCAGTAGCAAGAGTTGGCATCGCCACATCAGCCAAGGAGGAGGAGGAGGAGGAGGAGCGGAGCAGCTGCAGCGCAGGCAAATGAAATCACGAAAGCAATAGCTGCCCATCTTCCAGCAGTGAAACAGGGGCCCTGCCTTGTTTGTTAGGAATAGTTTCCGTGCAACAAACACGTAGAGACTCATGTCCCTGCCCTTTGGTATATCCCTGCAACTTCCAACTTCCGGCAAGTGCTTGGATCATATCGCAACTGCCTGCACGAGCCTATCGATCGTCACACTCTTATTTTTTAGCCAACCAGCTTTGTTATCCTTACAGCGACAGTCCGATCTGCCCAAGGCCGTTCTGCTTTCGGGTGACATCGTGAGCTTTCCCCAGGCCTGTGCTGTGCGCACGGAAGCCCTGCAGCCACAAAAACATGCACTCGCCCTCCTTCATGCACAGTCAGGCAACCCGAGGGTCAGCATCTAAATGCACATGACGGTGTACCCGCGAGCCGGTAAAGCAGAGTAGGCCTCCGCAGTCGACACGGTCAGCGGCCTTCTCAACGAGACCATGCGGCACGCGCATTTGCAGATCTGGCTGCTGCGTCAGCTGCTGGTTGAGATGTTCCGGTGGTTTCCGGAGTCGTCGTCACAGTTGGTAGCGATACTGCTGCGACTGACTGTGGTGATGCTGGTGCTGCTGCAGTTGAGCTTTCATACGCACCATGCGCTTAGCACAGCCATGACTCGTTATGTTTGTAACGATACAAACTGAGTAGCAGGTGATCTCCAAACAAAAGCATTGCAAGGAAGAAGCTTAACAGGATCAGAGCCTGGGATATTCCTGCCCGGACTGAAGCTGCTTGCGATTGCCAGTCTCCTTCCTGTCACGATTCCTTCTCACCCTACCCTCGATGTTTGAATGCCATCATCACCGAATGGTCACACTTAGTTTTTCTCTTTGTGGCCACTTGTCGGATAGGTACAAATGTGGGCCTCAGCAGGGGCGCCGCATTCCTCACGTCTTCACCAGTGGGAATCATGACTGGCCGCGTGCCGCAATTGGTTTGAGACAAGCCCCAGACTTATCCAGTGCTTCCCTATGGCCAATTTAGAGTTTTGTTTTGTCCTAGCAGCCACTGTTCTCTCGCTTCGCCGTCTACAACACCTTGTCAGCAGGTTTCTCGAGGGCCTTCCGGGAAGTCAGCCGGAGCTTCAGAGAACCTGGCGGTCACTGGCTCAGCCATAATCGCTTTCATTGGCTTGCTGAGCAATGCTTGCCTTCTTTTCTGAGGGAAGAGTCTCCAGGAAAGCCCTAGGAGACCGGCGCTAGGAGAAGCCAGGTGAAGGCAGTATTCAGTCCACAAGGCATCGTTGGTGCAAGTCTTTTTGATCGGTCTTGTTGAGTGTTGAGCATCGGCCACCCAACCAATCCAGAGCTCGCCTTCTGCATAAGGTCTGCGCTGCGTCCGCACGACTGGCACTGCTTTGGGACAGCTTGTCTTATGTCGAACTGCCCTTGCGGCCGTGAAGGAATTTGCCGGACATCAGACATGCAGAAAGTAAAAGCACCCTGGGCACCGCCTTTGTGGAACCTCCTGTCGCTGCCAGGCTGTATGTCTCCAGCGCAACATGGGGTGCGGGACTTCGGCGAGTGCAGCTTGAGAAACACTTGCAAGGCACGCTTTCTGGACTTCCAATCTCGACAAGCCTGCTTGCAAGAATAAGCATATGAAGTGAACATAGGCATGGCAAGTTGCAATGGTCAGGGGGCCATTAGGAAGCAGTAAGTCGCGATGAGCAGAAACAGCCTGAACAGCGGGCAGCAGCGACCAAGAGGTCAGTCCAGCACGGATTGTACATGACCAAGTCGAACCAGAGACATTGAGCAGAAGCACTTGCACATAAGTACATAGACCTGCGGTAATTAAAGCTCACACGTCTCCTACCAAAAATCCATGCTTCGAGAAGTGAAAGAAAGGCACAAAGGATACAATCCGAGGTGACTATCCGCAGTTCGACTACTCCAGTGCCTCAGCTGCTTCGGACCGGTTGCAGAGGATCACACAAGAGTCACGGGAGAGGTTTCGGTTGTGCGATGAGACTGTGCTAGGGCCCTTGAGTGAAAATCCTCCATCCCAGGCATGGAGGTGGAAGGCGTGCTCCTGGTAGTCATCGACAACTCACGCTACCAGGCAAAGGGCTCTCTTGAGTGTTGTCCTGGCTTGCCATAGCCGCACGGTTACAAGGCAGCACCATCATGCCCACTTATTGGCAAAATGATCACCCGTGTTGCCATGCACGGCTGCGTGCTACTACAATTCTTACTAAGTGTTATGCTGAGTATGCGGAGCCCTTTGCCACAAACTGGCTGCCCAGCCATAGAGTTTTGCTGCTCGCGGCGAAGTCAATCGCACCAAGAATCGGCTTCCCGTTGAGAAATCAATGCGAATCCATTCCAAAGTTTCCACGTCACCTGTCATTGCAAGCGCTGATGCCCAAGTCGGAGAGGTGACCCATGAGCAGCTGGCCTTCTTCCGGGAGCAAATGCTTCGCTGGCTGCCCACTGCTTCGGCCTCGAGAAGGGACCAAGCGCTCTTTGCTTTGTCCCAAGTTCCGAATTCCTTTCGGCACAGACCTTTGGAACTGGTGTCCAGCCATGGCCCTGTGGCGAAGTTCTGCCGAACTCGGCTTCAGAAAGCCAGGAAGTCTTGGAAGTTGCATCAGAGCTTCGGTTCATGGCGCACTTCGTCAAGGTGAAGGACCTGACGCCTAGCTCCCTGAACGTGGATTTGATCGTGAAGGTCGGCCGATTTGGGTGTATTCGTGCTTGTCTGTCCCCTTAAAGCGCCCCCCTATCTCGCTCTCTGTCTCGCTCGCTCTCTCTCTCTCTCTCTCTCTCTCTCTCTCTGTCTCGTGTCTGTCTGACCGCAAACGGCGGCTTCCATGCGACGTAACGTCCAGCACATCCTTAGCGTCTGTGGGCATCAGGACCAGTCACACAAGTGCAAAGCGTTGTTGCATCTCCTTCGCAGAAGCGCCCCGTTAAACCCCTCCCAGATCGTACGCCAGCGTGCACGCTGTGCGCAGGCTCTGCGCAGACTCCAGGAAGACCCAGAGCTACGTACAGTGAGAGTAGTTCGTGCTCAAAGGTTGGCTGAAGCTGTTAATGGGAAATGGGAACTCTTGATTACTAACACCCAAAAAAAATAAAATTGGCGGGTTTGTGGCTTGCCACCCAACACTCCTTCTAGGGTTTTGTAGGGCAGGTAGGGCTTTAAGGTTGGGGCTGAGGGTTTAGGGTTTTAGGGCTTGGGGGGGTTGACAGTTGAGGGTTGAGTTTTAGGGTTGAGGTTAGGGTTTTAAGGCTTCGTTTTAGACTTTAAGTTCCAGGGCTTTGGTGATTGACGCTTTAGGGCCGAAACCTTAAATCGTTTAAGGTAGGGGCTTAGGGCCGAAACCCTCACCCTAAGCCCTCGACCCTAAGCCTGCAACAGTCAAACAAAAGCGACAACAAAACACGATTGTTCTGCGGCGGCCGGAATATTAATCGGGGGGGTTGCCTTGCCTCGGCTGGGCCTTTGCAGGCTTGAAAAACTGAGCGCCTTTGATTTGAAATTTCTTGCGTGGCCACCTCTGGAATCTCTTCACAGCAGCAGCAGCAGCAGCAGCAGCAGCAAGGATAACACTACGAGTCTACGTTTCATGTGCAGGGCTGGTCGCGTAAAAAGGTGCCCGCATTCCCACACTGCTTCATCTCCAGTGAGAAGCGTCGTCTTCATTTCTCGTGCCAGTTTTAGTCAAGTCTTGGTGTTGATGCGACGAGAACAAGGAGTTCCCTTCATCATAGCGATCATGTCCGAAGCCCAGTGAAGGTGCTGGCATCGGACGGGCGCCTGCAGTGCTTGTCCGGAGCTGGGCTGCAGCTTGCTTGTGTCACCGTCGGGGACGAGACTGGCACCGTCTTTGGAATAAAATTCGGAATATTTTCCTTTAATCATTGCCTTCACTCTGGTTTTCGGTTGCTTTCAGCCAAGAAGGGTTCTTGCTATAGGCTATGGGCGTTGCTATGGCTATGACTGTCTCTTGGTCCTCAGGTGATGTTGCGGCTGGCGGCCCAGCAGGCTCGCCTGTGCGAGCCTGGTGCTACCCTGGTGCTGCGAAGTGCACGAGCAGAGATGCTGCCTGGACAACGAAAAGTCTGCTCAAAACTCAGACGGGTGTATTTTCCTCGTTGTTGAAGCTTGCAGGTTTGCCGGGCAAGTCCGCCTGGAGCTGGGCAGATGGAGCAGGGTCAGCGCCTTGGGCGACGCGGCGCTCTTCGCCCCAAAGATTCAGAACGACGTCTCCTCGAAGGACTCGGACCTTCCTGCTCTTGAGATGAGTTGTTACAAGCTTTTGGAAGTGAGCCTCCAGCCCAGGAATATGCCGTCGACCAGAGCCAGATACTCAACTGTCAGAGGCAGAGTCGCGAGGCTGCGGGTCCATGACGAGCGCTCGATGACGCCTCGGGTGCCTCCGCCACAAGCTGCGGGTCGATGCAGCCTCGGGCTGACTTCAAAGGTGCGCAGAACCGCGAGAGCCACAGAATCGTGCGGCAATCTGATCAGCTGACGGAGCTCCGATTTCAGGCGAGGATGCCTAGCCCTGCGGTCAGTCGATTCGCGCATCCGCAGCGAAAGGTCAAAACAAGTGCGGCTGCACAAGCCTTGAGTAGACGAGCTCGTGTTGATCGCGCGATCGCAAGACCGTGGAGCTTTCGAGTGGGAGGTGGGGGGTTATATAGGTTACTCTTGGCAGCCGCTTTGTCTAATCTGGGCTCACTACTCCTGCAGGCATCTGACACTTGGTACCTCAATGACAACTTGCACCTGTTGTGAGGTGCTGGTGCTTCATGTGCCGCTCTCGCTGACAGACAGTTTGCGGCCCCATCGCGGCTTCGTCTTGTCGCGACCTCAGGAGTCAACTGAAGAAGTTCGCGCGACCGTTGCTTTGGAACTAGTAGAAAGTCTGTGTAAGGCAAGGACTGACAGGGTTGAGGTAGGTTGGACAGCTTGTACACCTCGCGACCCGCACCACGAATGGCTTCCAGGTGTGGTGATCCTGCTTGGGGAGAGGCGGCTCTGCAGTTGCCCTTTGCGAATGAGATGCATGTCACACAGAAAGCTGTGATTCGGACTGCTTCGCTGCAGAGGCCACAGATCGATCCTGGCGAGATGAACGACGGGACCCCTGGCCGAAGGAGAAGAGTCCTGGCTTGAGGTTTAGTTTCGGTGGATTTCGAGTCTCTTTGCGGTTGCGAGTCGGCAGGAGGGCAACGACCGTGCCACTGAGCTTTTCCTTGAGGCGATGAGTTCCTGAAGCCTTGTTGCTTCGCTGATGAAAGGTTCTTGATGACGACCGCTCTGTTACACGCAATTTCGGCTCGAGAAGTGGCTGCTCTCCTACATTCAGATGCGTAACAGTAAGTACCATTCCCGGGAGAGGATGCGAACGGACAGGCGGTCCAAGCAGCTGCGGCGCCGGCCGGGCCTCTTCTTGCTCGGGTCCCAGGGTCCCAGCTGTCGCCCAGAATAAGCCCCTCTTGTCCTCTGCGGCGACTGCGGGAGGCAGTCTTGACCGGCCACACCCATGGTCACGATGCGACAGTCTTTGGACGCTCCGAGGCCTTGGAAAACTCAAGAGGCTTTCAGGGCAAGCTTTCCTCCAGTAGTGTACACCTTTTTGCAGGTTCAAGAGAAAACTAAGATACCTCCAGATTTTTCTCAACCCGATGGACGGGAAGATCCGAAATCGAGCCGCTGCTCGCAACGTGCGACACCTCGTCGCCACACATAGGCTACGTTGACTACATTGAGGTGTTTGAAATTTGTGTCTGTGTGCCCCTTCTTGGTCGGCTCTACTCATCACGTCTTTTCTCACCCCGACTCTTCCTTTCTCATCTTTCTCCTCGGGGAGCTTCAGACTCGGGACCTCAGGGCTCCGAGGAGTCGGGACGTCCCGACCAGGAAGCGGGTCATGAAAGCAGTTCTTCGGACACCGTGCCGTCTGCTGTCCAGTGACCCATGTGGCGGGTTCTGTTGGTTCAGTGATGTCCAGGCATTAGCAAGCAGAGCAACTTAACTGCCTGCAGGTACATTTGCGAGCCTTCCATGCGGGGCGGCCATCGTTTTCTGAACGTGCTCCGACCCGAAGAACGTGCACATGTTGGCCCAGAGATCCGTACATGCTCGCGGCAGGTGGTTCTGACCTCCGCCGAAGGCCCGGGTGAGAGTCGAGACAGAAAAGCTGAGTCTCTGAAGATCGTTCTTTCCCACTCTGCAGTTTCAACGCCAGTCAATTCCATGCTTGAGCATGGGCCTACATGTAGCACCATCGACATGATGTGTGATCTTGTCTATGGCATTTCAAAAGCAGAAGCTCAGCTCATTCTCATGAAGCAAGTCCCTGTTTTCAGCAATGAGAGAGGACAAATCGAGAGACTAACCCAGGAAGGAAGGAAGCTACGGCGCATTCAGACTTGTTACGAAGCTTGGAGCTGTAACAAGCTTCAGCCCAGCTCTTGGAGAAGCAATCCTACGGCACTCCGACGGCATTCGTGTTGCGAACCTGTCATCTCAGTCTTGGCCAGGCTCGACATGCCATGGCAGTGCCCCCTTGTACCATTTGCCCAGTGTCCTTCTTGCGAGAGCACGAAAGCCTAGCACAGCATGCCAGAACCCCTCGGAGTGACTTTGAGCAAGCGCACGGCCGCCATGTCCTCGGAGTGAACATCCGTGAGGCCTTCAGCGAACAGACTAGGACAGACTAGGAATTGGAAGAAGTAGCGGAGAGAGCGTTATTCAAACAGCCTGCATTTTCGGAATTCGTTGGAACTTCTCAGGAGAACCTTGAACAGCTACGCTGATTGCAATGACCCCAAGGCGCATGACTTACTGTTGGGCCTCACCTGGGCAGCAATGAAGACAGCATACGAGCTTGGACCCCAGATAAGACCAGCTTAGCTTGCTGCCCTTTCTGCTTGTTGGCTGAGGGAGTCCAGATTCGGCGAGCTGTTGGGTATCCTTACCCGTTACACCCCGGGCCACGAGGCCAGAACCCACCTTAACCCACCCACCGTTGGTACAGCTTTGCGCAGAAGTCTTCTCCGAGCGGTGGGAGGGCGCGCAGTCTGCTTGTGCCGCGCCTGCCTCAGCCAGACCAAAATCGCTCTCAAGGCCCGGCGAAGATCCCGAGATCGAGCACGATCTGGCGATGCCACCTCAGCGAAAGGGAGCCAAGACGCCGCCCGTACACACTTTTGTAACAGCAAATTGAGTTCGGCCCCGCGGTTCTGTGCACCTCGACTCGGTGCGCAATGGCACGTCAGCATGTCTGCCAAGTGCAAGTGAAGGGAAGCTCCTCGCTCTCAGGTGGCGCTGCTGGGGCGGAATCAAGAATCTTGAAGCAGCGGCAGCCGGGATCGAGCAGCCGGATCGCATATCTCCCGCCACGCCTGCCCAACCTTTCAGCGCGAGTGCGGGTGCAGCCCACGCCGAGCGCGTGCAAAGCCTCAGGTTGACAGCGGTGGCCGGCGGCCCAGCGACCCCAGCGACCGCCATCCGGGTAAATGGCATAGGGAGATGCAGAGCTGAGGCAGATGGAATTGATGCGGTTCTGCATCGCACCACCGAGGCCGATTCTACTCGTAGCTCGGGATGCTTAGAGAAAGCAGAACACTTGGAGTGCAGTGCCGACAGGCTGTCAGGGCCGGCTTAGTGCTCGTGGCACACGGTCTGCCAGGGGCCCCACTCAGCGCCTCCTGCAGCTGCAGAAACCAAGGTTCAGGGGTGGTTTGTCAGCTAGTCTGGCTCGCTCTGATCGTGCTGCGACAGAAGATGCATTGTTTTGTCTAGACAAAGCTCTTCAGCCATTTTCTGCGAGGGCTTTCGCAGAAGCAGCTTCACGAGTAACGCACAGTAATGACAAACCCTGTTGCTGGCCAATGTAGCCTGCCTCTTGAGCTCCGAAGAAGCAAGAGAGCAGATCTTCGGTGGTTTGTCTCATGTGGTAGGACTGCCGTGTCCCAGCTTCTTGTTTGCTCTCTTTTGCTTGGTCTCATGCGGTCGTACTCATGTATCCTGGCTCTCGGTTTCTTTGTCCGATGCGGTCGGGGTCCAGTGTCATGGGTTCTTGTTTGCTCCCATTTGCTTTGTCTCGTCTAAGCGGCGGCGTTCTTTTCGCTCTTCGCACGGCCGCAGCTGCTCGACTGAGCTGGAGCGTTGGTTTTGTTGCACCCACGGTGGAGTGCTATTTTCCTCCCACTGGGCATTTGCCATCCATATGTCCTTAAGTGAAGCATCTTTGAACGTACTTGGGTTTGCTCCCGTTTGCTTTTTTGTCTGGCGGTCGCAGTATGCAGACACTGACAGCAACGCGAAGCAGTCTCGATGCACATCGAATGAAACGAGGCTCTGCAAGGGCGGCCAACGTGCAACCGCCTGCAGAGTCCTGCGCTCGCAGCTTGAACCTACACCTCCCTAGGGCGATCTGGCTGGGCTGTGGGCTTTTCAAACCGACGGACCGGTGCTGTGGATCGGTCAAACTGTGTAATTCCGTGCACACGTGCACTACAAGACACACTCGCCACTCAGCGGGAAACCAAAACTGACAGAAACATGACACACTTTTGCTTACATCGAGTGGAACGAGGCTCCACTGGCAGGAGGTGCAGCGAGGAAGAGTGCCTCTCCGAGACGGCAGCCCTCGTGCCCCAAACCTGCGACGACTGCGGCCCGACACCATTAATCAGTCACACCTGGAGCCCGAGCCTTGACGACACAAGAAATTTGGCAGTCGAATGCAAGGGACTCGCTTGCACTGCTAGTTGTGGTGGAAATTGGTCTGCCAATCGCGACGCTGCCACAGTGTTCTCCTCCGAGAAATCGCATCAGCTCATCTGGTCGCTGATGCTAAACCGCTCGCTACAACTCTGTGAATTCATGGCCAAGACACAGGACTACGACCGCTTTCGAACAGAGCAACGGGAGCAACAAGGAAGAAGCCAGAACACAAGTGTACGACTGCATCAAACAGACCATTTGCGAGCGAAAAGGGGCAAAGGCCCTGACATAGGAGTCCGACCGCATGAAGCAAAGCAAAAAAGGCACCAACAAGGACCCAGGACGCAAGACTACGATAACATCAAAAGCAGTCGAGAGCAAACAAGAAGCCAGAACACGGAAAAGAAACGAGGCCAGGACACCGCACGAAAAAGCAATCGGGAGGAAACCAGCACCGAAGAAGCAAAACACACGGGACCACACAGGAAAGCCGGTGGGACATATGTTCCGGCTTCTTGCTGTTTGATGCGGTTGTACTCCTGTGTCCTGGTCTTTTGTTTTCGCCTGTTTGCTCTGTCTCATGCGCTGGCTGCTTGCGTGCTCCCGTTTGCTTCGTTTCGTGCGGTCGGACTCCTGCGACCACGACAGGCGAAAAGTGAAGTGGTCTGTCGCTTGTGCTTGCAAATCTTTGCTGAGGCGCGGGCTTCTGAAAACATCGACCAGCAGCTGTCAAGGAATTCGAGGTTCGGAGGGCCTGATTGTCAAACGAGGGAATGTCTCGAGGGGGCTTGAAGAGACAGGGCATGAAGAGACCCAGCACCCTCCGAGAAATGAAGTAAAGTTGGGACAGGACGTCGCATCTTTGCAACCTGCGAGAGCTGCCTGGAGGCTGGTCTTCGGGCATTGGGTGCTTGGATCTTTCGGATTGCGCTCGGGTCACAGGCAGTGCAGTGTCTTCTGCACTTCCTGGCTCTTTGGGCGGACCCGATCCTCTCCTACTCGTTTGGGGCCCCAGCCCCAGGCCGCTGTTTTCTGCAATTGCACGGCGCTTTTCGGAGGCCTGGTCTCCGGCTGGAGGTCGGGAACCTGAGCCTGTCGGCGCAGTGCATGCTAAGCCACTGCTTGGCACACGAGAATTGCACATCACAACGTGAAGGAGAAGTGCGTAGAGACGAGCGAAGCCCAGCGTTTCGTTCCGAAGTTCTGCTCCACGTAGCGCTGTTTGTCACAGTTTTCGTGAATACGAGACATCCATCGCCTCGCTCGAGGTGATGGGCTGCACGATGCTGACGGAGTTCAACCAGGCCCTCGGAAGTGCGTTAAGCCATGTGGAGCTATATGGGGACAGGAGCAGCAAGGAAATGTTGTGAATGTAAACTCCGGGGAGCGCTTAGAGTGTACATGATCGGAGGCCATTTGGGCGTGGCAGGACGGCGACTGGGCCACATTCGGCTACGGTGTAGGCCGGGAGCAGGAGTGCTTGCACCTTGAAGCTGTGCTACTCTGCTTCCTTCGGAACGCCAGGGAAGGCCCTTCTGGCTGCAAACTGCTCGCAGTCGCAGACTTGAAAACGGGGTTAACCTTGCCCACCTTGGTTGAAGAATCGGAATTGTCACTTGCTGGGTTCAGCCTTGAACAGCAGTGCGCAGCAGAAGTCGCTGGCATCGGGCTCAAGACTGGCCGAGCTCCCACACTCCTCGACTCCTCGAGGAGAACCTGACGATCTCACTGCGCTCAGGCTGCAAGTCTAGAAGTTAGCGCGCGGGCAGAGCTTGGGATAGCATTCTTCGATTTCTGATGTGCTCTGTCCTACTAGCCAACAGTTGCAGGGGGGTAACCCCACCGCGCGGACACAATCCTCTTCTGCACGTAGGTATACTTGCTTGCTGACTCGCTCTTACTTTGATAAACGAGCTGCGAGAAAGAGATTTTTTGCACAGTTCTGAGGCTTCTCACAATCACACGCCTTCGTGGTGATTGTAAGCCCTGTGGCTTGCGAAGTAAATGTTTTCTCCAGGATGCCGAGCAGTCTTTGGGGCTCATGGTCTTACTGTTTCTGGTTACGACCGAAGAGCACAAGAGACGGACTCAGTCTTCCGCAGCGGGCATCGTGTCGAAACAACAGCCTAGGTCGTAGGCTATAGGTTCTCCACATGGGCGGTGTATTCGGTGCGCGAATCCTGCATTTTCTGCAACCGATTGTTATAGCATCAGGCTGGCGATGTTGCTTTGATGTGCGACTCCCAGATGAAATTCGCAGGGCTTCCAAACTGTGGAGTGGCTTTAGAAGCAAACTCACCATTCTCTTGGCTGGATCGCGGGATGTTCACCCGTACGAACGCAGAAGGGGGGTTACTGTGTTACTGCCTTGTGTCTCAGCAAGCACGTTGTCTGAGGTACAGCTACCACCACCCGCCTCCGCCTCATTACGGCTACGCCCCACCGCCACCATCGGGCGCTTATGCGGCACAAGCAGCCTCAGGAGGCTTCCAGCGGGAGGGTCGTGACGATCAAGATGTTTGTATGGTGTTCGAATGCTGTGATGAGGGGAACCGCCTTTCATTTTGTTGGGCCAAACTTCCTTCACTGCGTCCTGCTTCAGCCATCCAAATCTTCTTGAACAACTGCTGAAACCGCTCAGTCCTTGCCCGCGAAAGAAGACTTTCTGTACAGGTCACCCACCACCTCCTGCATATGGCTACGGCAGCTATCCGCCGCCGCCAGACGGCCACCCGGCACATCCTCCACGGCAAGAGGGCCATCCACCACCTCCGGCGTATGGCTACTACCCACCGCGCACGCCTTAGTTTGAATTTGATGCTTTGATAGTGGCACGTGCTCGGGATCTCCGAAGCACGAACTGCAGACTGAATTTGTTGATGGTGCCCGAGCATCTAGGAGCTCGTCATCGTGATTCTCGTCCTGAGTCGGAAGAGAGAAATTGAACGACCAAGGCACCCGCCTGGATATCCTGGCTACCCCAGCCGGATCCCTGGCATCGGGGACTAGTGACTACAGAGACGTGCTGCTTTATGTTCGGAGGCCACAATGCGAATGGTGGTGTGAAGTAATAATGTAGTGACAATGCGGTGATGTAGTTTAATGTAGCCAAGACTTCTCAGACCACCTCTGCACTCCAAGCCCAGACCCTGTGAGAAAGGCTGATGTAAACAAAGCTCCCCAACTAGCGGCTTGGATTACTTCTCAGTGCAAACCGCAGCCACATTGATAAGCAGATTAGACTGTGAACCCAGCAGCTCAGCAACTCCAACAGTCACGTCCAATGAGGCCACGGATACCCTCCTCCACCACACGGCTGGCATCCGCCACCGCCCCATGGCTACTGGCCGCCTCCGCCTGGAACCTAAGGGGCTCAAATGCCACCGTGCTTCGCAGTCGTGCTCAGCAAGCAGCTCTGGCGAAAGGGGTGCCAAACAGGGTCAGGGGTCCAAGGGGGCTCAGTAGCGGATCTTGTCGTTTGACTAAATTGTTGTCTTTCTGCTGTATTTTATCGAGGCCTCCGCACGGGTATCCGGGCTACTGGCCACCTCCGCGCGAGGCATCCAGAAGCAGGCAGGTGTCGTGTTGCAAGCACGACAAGTGCACTGTCGAATCTTCCCCACGCTCCGAAGCCGCCTGACTGCGGTCGAACAGCTCTCGTTGCCAGGTCCCCTCGGAGGGACGGGAAGTGCCCCGGGCTACGGGTTCCAAATTGATATAATTATTTGGGCACCGAGCATGGGTTTCCCTGCGCTTCTTGAGCACATGATGGCCAGCCACAATGCCTCAGAGGCTCTACAAACTGAAAATCAGTTCCTGCCGAAATCTTTCGGGCAGGTACACCTGCCGATTCTTCATCGGAATCGACAACGATGTCGCCCCGACACGATCCGACACGGTTCAGAACTCCAGGGCCTAGTGCAGCATGGCCCAGAGCGAGCCAGGATAAGTTCAAAGTTGCCAAGCGCATCATCGGTGCAAATGGCAGCAACATGAAGGCGACCAGCCCAGCGCCGGAGTTTTGGGCTTTCCCTCATGTTTCATCAACTTTTACAGCTGGACTGCTGCGTAAAGATGCGTAAAGTAGAACGCTGCCGCGCTTTGCAATACCTTGAGGAGATCGTCAAAAAGTCGGGCGATGTCGCCAAGCTGCGGCTGCGTGGCAAAGGTTCAGGCTTCGCTGGCGCCCTAGTGCCCGCCTTCCGGCATAGCATAGGCGGCCACCGCCAATCCCTGCACCACGGCCACAGAATCATGCTTACTACACTCTTACCGCTCTTCCCCCTTTGTCTCTACGGGTCTTCCCCTTTGCCTTTCTCTCAGTATCTCTCTGACTTCATGCATCCTTCGGGCCCCTTGGATGTAAAGCCTCTGAGGCCGAGCGCGACACGAACGAAGAGTCGCCAGCCAGGGGCCCAAAGGAATTCCCAAAAAAGCTGACGGCAACAGGACCTTTCCCGTGTTTCCCCCGTCCAGCTTCTGCCACTGTGTGCGGGAATTCCCGCCTCGCAAGCATCGTTGGCATCAGCAGGGCTGGACGAAGACTCAAGGCTGTAAGAGCCGCAGAACATCTAGATAAATCCTGGCGTATGTGAAGACGCAAGGCAAGGAAGGAGCAACACCAGGAAGTGTAAACGAGCACAAGTCCACCCTGGGGCTTTGGCCCAGGAGCCGCTGCAGCTCTGCATCTCCTGTCCCACCCAGCACGGCTACGAAATCGCTCGGACGCCCCTGGGACTGCAAGGAACAGTTACCTGCACTGAATGCAGAGGCAGTTTGCTTCATTGAGCGGTAGCTGCGAAGAGCAGCAGCGATGGGCTTGGCGCAAGGCAGAACGCATGTGTTGCATCGCAGTGCAGGTGCGTTGAAGACCTTCTGCTAAACGTGTACGACGAGTACGAAGACTACTGCGAAGAGCATGGTCTGGACAGTGTGACAGAGTGCTTGCTGTTTGCCGGCCGAGTTGTAAGGGCGAACTTCTCATAGATTGCGCTCCGAGCATCTGACATGACAAACGGCACAGAAACGGGTCTGCAAGCAGGAGTGCGAACCGCCTATCATCCGAATGACGGAGAGGCCGGTCCAGTCACACGCACACTTTGCCATCACCACGGGTGCAAGCCAGAAAAGAGACAGAGAGAGAGAGGGTCTTGACAGAAGGGGCTAGACAGGTGTGGTATCGCTGAAGTAAGGGGCCTGTCCTGCGTGCCAACTCCCACTTGTCTCACACCGACTTCCAAAGGACAGACAAGAGCCGTAGCGCGAGAGCGCAAGGGGGCAGGGGCAACCCTGTCCTCTAAACGGCGCGCAAGCAAGCAAGCAAGCAAGGGGGTAGAGAGAGAGAGAGAGAGAGACAAGGGTCTGCCCACACCCCATCCCCGAAGAAAAGCAAAAGAGAGAGAGGGAGTCAAAGAAAGAGAGAGAGTCAAAAGCCGGTATTGCCAGTGAAGCGAACTTGTAGGGTCACAACCCTGCAACTTGATAGGGCGTGACTTCTCCTCGTTGAACTTATCACAAATGCTTGCCCTCTAGGGTCCTCATACATCATTGTGTCATTGTTTCTTCCACAATAAAGGAGGAAGTCAAATTCCGATGCTGCCATTCAAACGAACTTGTAGGGTCACAAACCCTGTGACTTGATAGGGGGAGGTCCTTAAAGGCATGTGTCTTCTTGTTTGTAGTTGATTTCTTGATGACTCTTAGGCGGCCCCTTTTTTGCTTAGCCGCCGCTCTTGCAGCGACGAATTCCCAAGGACCTCCGCCGAAGTTGTCAGTGGGAATGCCACCGTTTTCTGTTCGCGCTGCCCAAAGAAAGATTTCTCCCCTAATTTACACGGTCTGCCAGGTTCGGATGGTGTTGTTAGGTCCCTTGCATGATTCTGCCGTCTTTCAAACGGCAAACAAAAAGAGTAGCGCGAGCAGTCTTGCAAAAGGGCCCGAGGGGACTCCTGGAAAGCTTGATCGGTGTGCTTATCTTGATTGTTTCTCGGCCTGTTTCCTCATTGGCATGCTCGGGGCCAAGAGTCCCCTCAAAGCAGTTGACATCTGCAAGATCCACTTTCTGGAAGCTTGTTGATGAAAGAAGAAGGGCTGATGACACCCAAAAATCCCGGTCCTGGCTCTGATACTACACATGTTACCCACCTTAGGGGGAATATCTACTGCTGTGTCCTTGCTTCAAAGTCGTCATAATGAGCCAGGGGGGATACATGTGACCCTTCGTAGTAAATGCGATATGGCATCCTCGACTTTATAAACAGGGGAACACAGTCTGTGATGTTTGTCATTACTCGCAACCTACTCATACTTTCAGGCTATCTTTCTATTATCCTCGGGGAGAAATTAGACATCACAAACAGTTCTACACTGCTCTTCACTCCCCTATCCTGATCAATACGATCGGGTGGGATGTAGTCCCGGGGACGGTGACACGTCCCTATGCCCGAGGGAGGGAGAGAGAGAGAGAGAGAGAGAGAGAGTGTCTTGATAGTCATGTTGCCTTTTGCAAGTGTTGGTCGGAGCCTCAGCCTGCAGTTGTGTTCGTGTTATGTTTGCAAGCAGCAGTCGCCTTGTGTGTACTACCAGCTTCAGCAGCTGTGGCGTAACTGGGGGACGACTGGGGGAACCCTGCCTAACCTCGTTGCTATGTTGTACTTGGTTACTTTCCGGAAGGCGGGGGGATGCCCAGTGTGCGATTTGTATAGCCGAGCCACCCAAAGGAAATATTCCCGGGGTGGATTTGAAAACCCCGCTTGGACTCGCGGGTGCGCGTGCGCGCGCGGAGGGGTAGGGCTTGCCTTGCCTCTCCTGTCCCGGTAGAGAGAGAGAGAGAGAGAGAGAGAGAGACCCTCTCGAGGTGCAGGTGACTGAACTCTGGTCACAAACAATCGACTTGCGGCATTAATTCGTGTGACAATCCCTGTGAAGCTGATCGGGGGAGGGACCGTGAATTACTTCCCGGGGGATTTCAAATTTCTGTTTACTTATCTTTTGCAGATGTACGGGGGAGTCATTCATGTCTGCATGTGTTTGAGAGAACATTCGAACATCCTCCTTTCTGTATCCCAACTTATTCAGCTTTAGCGCATTGGATGTTCAATGTTCGTTCGTCACTCCCCAAAACCTGATCAATATGATCGGGTGGGCCAACAGGCCCGGGGACGGTGAGACGTCCCCATGCCCGGGAGAGAGAGAGAGAGAGAGAGAGTTTCACCTGAGACCGCGCGCGCGAGGGGGGGTCTGCAGCCTTCCCTTTGTCTGGAAGAAGAGTTTCATTGTAGCCATTTTGGCTCAAGGTGCCTTCATCGACTTCGTGGACGTCTGGATTGGGTGGGGCGGGCCTCCCTACTGTGCCTTCGGGGGCCCTGCCTCCACCCGTCCTCTCTGGCAAAGTAACACTAAATCCGCGGCGCCTTGAGCCATAGTCCAGGAGTCCAGGAGGGCAAGTCCGTGACACTTTTACCTTGAACGTGACCTGGGGACTGCAAAAACTCCGCCAACGAAGTGCTTAAAGAGAGGGACACAGACCTCGTCGTTGTCCTCATCTTTGCCCGGTTGGCCAATCCGTTCTCAAAGTACCTGACCGCTGGGTGGGGGATAAGAACAATTCAGTGATCGTGTCTGTGGCAAGGACGGGGAGTTCGTGAAGTTTGCAATGGACCGACGGCCTACTGCACCCCAGCAGCAGCAGCAGCAGCAGCCAGAAGGGGAGCGGACAGCCAAGCGACCCCGCACAGCAGCAGCAGAGCCGAAGCAAACCCAGGAGCCGTCGGCATATATGGTCGTGAGGGCCCAGCAGCTGATCACGCGGCTCATTCCTACCTTGAGGGGAAGGACCTCTGGAAACCTGCTGGCGACCAATCGGCAGGGGAGAGCCCCCTCAGCATGAGAGAAGAGGACATGCCGGGGACGGAGACAGAAGACGAAACATGGCATATAGCGAGAAGACGATGCAGCGCCACCACAACAACGGGGAACGCTGAGAGACAGCCCAGTGACCCGCAACTAGGGGACCCGGGTAGCGAAGACGCATCCCGCACGTCCCACAGACGCCGCAGAATGCATGCAGCCATGTCCGACGACTGAAGCTTTTACCCAGCTCTGCTTTAATTTGCTTAGCTCAGGGGTTTTTTCCTTTCGCGTTCACTGCGGAGACATGTGCATCAGTAGGGGACCAACAATCAGCACATCACCAACACCACCTCCGGATGCAGCTGCCTCAATGTGTAGTGTCGTTCCTTTATGCTTTATTAACCTGAGGCCCCCCCTTTTTGGTTCCTAACCCGGAGGCTCTGTACCTGACCACAGCACACCAACACCAGTACGGGGACCCCAACAGTGTACGTATACTCCCCTAGTGTGTTGTACCCTGGCCCCCTCCTGCTTTGCCCAACGGGGACCCGCACTGACAAACATGTAGCACACTAGACCCACAAACCAAGTCAAGAAAAACCAGAAAGGTGGGGTAGAGCCTTCGGACGTGCAAGCAAGGTACGGGGACGCTGTTGTTCCTTTCCCCACAGCCTCGTAGCCTGGTGCCCATGTGTTCTACCCCCAAGGCCCCTGTTACTGTGCTGACCTTGATGCCACGGATGAGGGGACCCCGATGTCAAAGTGTTGTGTCCTATTTCAAACGGCTCCTGCATGCTACTCGCAGTCTGGTTTTGCTTACCTGAAGTTGCAGGGCAGTAGGGGACCCCACTGAAGCACTCCAAACCGCGGCACCCAGCAACGCCTGGGAACACACCCTGTGCCGATCCTCTCTTCAGTCTCACCGACCCACAACACAGGACAGCGGCGTAGCGCGAGAGCGCAGGGGGAGGGGGCTTTCCCCCAACCCCAAACGCCTTGCAAGCAAGAGAGAGCTTATCCTCTTTTTTGCTCAAGTGGCCCTGTCCGGAACCATAGGACGCGAGCCATAATCGTGAAGGTGAAGCCCGTGATGCTACTCCCTTGCACGTGACCTAGCCAGTGCAAGATTTTCTCCTTGGCAGCACCGGCAGAGGGGGGGACAGGACATCCCGCAGGGGTTTTCCTTCGCGCAGACGCCGTTCTTGACCTACCTGCTCGCTGGGTGGAGGACTACCTCATTTCAGTGTCCGTGACTTGGGGAACGGCGGCGACATAGTGAAGATCACCATGGTGGGGACATGTAGGATCTGCAGGTACGCAATGGGAACCTGCACTATAGGTATGAGGAAAATTCACGACCGAACAGATCCAGCATGCAGGCTGTACGGAGTTACTTCGAAAGCAAACACTCCGCCACGAGCCCGTACCAGAACCCCTCCAAGAGAGGGGGACCGGAGTGCAGAACCACAAGCACCAAGCCCGACAAGCCGGGGGACTACCTCAACCAGGCCTCTCGCAGAGATGACCGGCTTCAGGACACGCTCTGGGCTCGTCCTACTCTATGAACCAGACCCACTTGACACCTGGATCACCCTCGACAAGGAGACAGAGGGGACTCTTGCCCAACAGGAGGCAAGACAATATAGAGCTTACTGCCGACGACACGCAGCCCGAAATGAGGAGGGACGACTAGCAGACAAACTTATCCATATAGTGGACAGGTACCTTCCTCTACAGTCGGACGAGACACGGGCCTATGTTGCACGTTTTCCTGGACAAGCCAAACAGCTGCTGCCCAAAGTCAGGAAGATCCGCAACAAGCTCCGACGAGAAGGGGGACCACCTGCTACAGTAAGAAGACCAAGGCATGCAGCGGAAGTGGGGGGCGACAACCCGAGACGAGCTGAGAGCGAGGACGATGACCAGCAACAACAAGTACGAGCAATGGGAGAGACCACCAGTGGGACAGCTTATGTGCCAGAGCATGCGAAAACGGAGAGCAGGGGGACAAGCCAGTGCCATGAGACAAAGGTGCAGCCCATGGCCAACGACACCCCGCCCCAACGAGCCAACAGGGGAACCCCGACGACAACGAGATGGCCTTGGTGGTGAAGACGGGGCAGTACGACTCACATCCCCAACCGCAGTTGGCGGGACGTCAGGATAGTAGAGAACCACATGCGTGATAAGCAGCAGCAGAAAGATATGCAGTGACGACGGGGGTTTGCTCCATACCTGCCCTTGGCGAGCTCGCCGCCTTCGACGCCGACCCGTGTTCTATCCGCTTTGGTGTCTAAGAGGGGACTTTAGCGGGAC